GAGTCCTCTCTCCTCTCTGCTGAAGTCAGGTGTTATCAGTATGTAGTGTCTCTACTTTAAAGAGTCCTCTCCTGCTGAAGTTAGGTGTATATCAGTATGTAGTGTCTCTACTTTAAAGAGTCCCTCTCCTGCTGAAGTTCAGGTGTATATCAGTATGTAGTGTCTCTACTTTAAAGAGTCCTCTCCTGCTGAAGTTCAGTGTATATCAGTATGTAGTGTCTCTACTTAAAGAGTCCTCTCCTGCTGAAGTTCAGGTGTATATCAGTATGTAGTGTCTCTACTTTAAAGAGTCCTCTCCTGCTGATGTTCAGTGTATATCAGTATGTCGTGTCTCTACTTTAAAGAGTCCTCTCCTGCTGATGTTCAGGGTATATCAGTATGTCGTGTCTCTACTTTAAGAGTCCTCTCCTGCTGAGTCAGGTTTATCAGTATGTAGTGTCTCTACTTTAAAGAGTCCTCTCCTGCTGAAGTCAGGTTTATATCAGTATGTAGTGTCTACTTTAAAGAGTCCTCTCCTGCTGAAGATCAGGTGTATATCAGTATGTAGTGTCTCTACTTTAAAGAGTCCTCTCCTGCTGAAGTTCAGGTGTATATCAGTATGTAGTGTCTCTACTTTAAAGAGTCCTCTCCTGCTGAAGTTCAGGTGTATATCAGTATGTCGTGTCTCTACTTTAAAGAGTCCTCTCCTGCTGAAGTTCAGGTTTATATCAGTATGTAGTGTCTCTACTTTAAAGAGTCCTCTCCTGCTGAAGTTCAGGTGTATATCAGTATGTAGTGTCTCTACTTTAAAGAGTCCTCTCCTGCTGAAGTCAGGTGTATATCAGTATGTAGTGTCTCTACTTTAAAGAGTCCTCTCCTGCTGAAGTTCAGGTGTATATCAGTATGTAGTGTCTCTACTTTAAAGAGTCCTCTCCTGCTGAAGTTCAGGTGTATATCAGTATGTAGTGTCTCTACTTTAAAGAGTCCTCTCCTGCTGATGTTCAGGTGTATATCAGTATGTCGTGTCTCTACTTTAAAGAGTCCTCTCCTGCTGATGTTCAGGTGTATATCAGTATGTCGTGTCTCTACTTTAAAGAGTCCTCTCCTGCTGATGTCAGGTGTATATCAGTATGTAGTGTCTCTACTTTAAAGAGTCCTCTCCTGCTGATGTTCAGGTGTATATCAGTATGTCGTGTCTCTACTTTAAAGAGTCCTCTCCTGCTGATGTTCAGGTGTATATCAGTATGTCGTGTCTCTACTTTAAAGAGTCCTCTCCTGCTGATTTCAGGTTATCAGTATGTATGTCTCTACTTTAAAGAGTCCTCTCCTGCTGATTCAGGTGTATATCAGTATGTCGTGTCTCTACTTTTAAAGAGTCCTCTCCTGCTGATGTTCAGGTTTATATCAGTATGTAGTGTCTCTACTTTAAAGAGTCCTCTCCTGCTGCTGTCAGGTGTATATACAGTATGTCGTGTCTCTACTTTAAAGAGTCCTCTCCTGCTGATGTTCTAGGTTTATATCATGTATGTAGTGTCTCTACTTTAAATAGAGTCCTCTCCTGCTGAAGTTCAGGTGTATATCAGTATGTAGTGTCTCTACTTTAAGAGTCCTCTCCTGCTGAAGATCAGGTGTATATCAGTATGTAGTGTCTCTACTTTAAGAGTCCTCTCCTTGCTGAAGTTCAGGTGTATATCAGTATGTAGTGTCTCTACTTTAAAGAGTCCTCTCTGCTGAAGTTCAGGTGTATATCAGTATGTCGTGTCTCTACTTTAAAGAGTCCTCTCCTGCTGATGTTTCAGGTTTATAATCAGTATGTAGTGTCTCTACTTTAAAGAGTTCCTCTCCTGCTGATGTTCAGGTGTATATCAGTATGTCGTGTCTCTACTTTAAAGAGTCCTCTCCTGCTGAGTTCAGGTGGTTATCAGTATGGTCGTGTCTCTACTTTAAAGAGTCCTCTCCTGCTGATGTTCAGGTGTATATCAGTATGTCGTGTCTCTTACTTTTAAAGAGTCCTCTCCTGCTGATGTTCAGGTGTATATCGTATGTAGTGTCTCTACTTTAAAGAGTCCTCCCTCTCCTGCTGAAGTTCAGGTGATATCAGTATGTAGTGTCTCTACTTTAAAGAGTTCCTCTCCTGTGAAGTTCAGGTGTATATCAGTATGTAGTGTCTCTACTTTAAAGAGTCCTCGTCCTGCTTGATGTTCAGGTGTATATCAGTATGTCGTGTCTCTACTTTAAAGAGTCCTCTCCTGCTGATGTTCAGGTGTATATCAGTATGTCGTGTCTCTACTTTAAAGAGTCCTCTCCTGCTGATGTTCAGGTGCTATCTCAGTATGTAGTGTTCTACTTTAAAGAGTCCTCTCCTGCTGATGTTCAGGTGTATATCAGTATGTCGTGTCTCTACTTTAAAGAGTCCTCTCCTGCTGATGTTCAGGTGTATATCAGTATGTAGTGTCTCTACTTTAAAGAGTCCTATGTCACTTTTCAAAACACATCTCTTCACACTGGTATATGCTCCCTGATCACACATCCTGTGTTCTTGTTGATTATATTGTCTTGTTTTTCAGATCTTATACGGCTACCTTGAGAGCCGTGAAAGGCACCTCGATCATTCAAATACAAACACAGGGATTTTACCTTTTGCATTTACATGCACCAAAAAACTAAACCTTGTATTAAAATATTCTTTAAGAACAAAATGTTAAAGCAAGGTTTTGTTTACCAGGCTATGTAATTAAATAGCCTATTAATTTGTTAATATAGAATAACTTAATATATATAACTTCCCCACTCAATCTCTCAAGACCCGAGCAGTTCTATTAGAAGTCCAAGGTAAGGCACGGGCCGGCGCATATCGCTCAAAGGAATCCCTCGCCATATGAACTTTGACCCTTAGAAAGTAAAAGTGAAGAGGCACAACGTGTCAACTCCCTTAGGATAGGTCTGAGAAACAGGGGTATGAAAAGAAAAGTAAGAAACAGAGGAAGAGAGGCACAACATGTCTCTACATGCACTCTCCTAAAATATTAAACGAGAAAGGGGTGAAGAAATACAAAGAAAGAAACTGAAATGAAAAGGCACCACATTGCGTAAATGCTTCCCCTTAGAATAGGGTGGAAATTATGAAAAGGGGACTCTGCCTCTCCATTGACACCCTTGATGGCGTTTCCTACAAATATCTGGGCTTTTGGTTGGACAGTAATCTGAACTTTAAACACCTTATTGAAGTTTTAACAAAGAAATTGAAATTCACTCTTGGCTTCCTTTTCAGACTTAAATGTTGTTTTTCAATTTCATCCCGTAAAAGGTTGGTCTCTGGCTTATTCCTGTCCCAGCTGGACTACGGTGATACAATCTATAGATTTGCCTGTCCCACTGTTTTGGCCAAACTTGACCCACTCTACCATGCTGCACTGCGTTATATATCAAATGCACCCTATAGGACTCATCACTGCACACTGTATAGCCTAACTGGATGGTCCTCACTTACTATGCGTAGGATGCAGCACTGGTTTTTATTAATGTATAAAGCCATTTTAGGAAAGCTTCCACTCTACATATGTGTCAGATTTGCCCCAGTTTGTGACTCTTACAACCTCAGATCCAGTGCCTGGATAGGGGTCCAGGTTCCTGCTGTACGGACTGAGGCTGGAAAAAGGAGTCTTTCTTATTATGGTCCTTGGTCTTGGAATGACCTTCAATCACGCCTCAAACTGAGGGCACTTGTCTCTATATCATGTTTTAAATTGAAGTTGTCTGAAGTCCTCACCACCAGCTGCTCTTGCAGTAACAAGTAGTGTACTTTTCTTACTGTCCTAATGTGCACAATGTAGTGACTGCTTTTTCGTCTTTTGTTTTCTTTGTTATGTTCTCTGTATTTTATATGTTTGTGTTATGTGTTATGTGTAACGTTGCTGCCTTCTTGGCCAGGTCAGCTTTGAAAATGAGATTTTATCTCAATGTTTTTATCTGGTTAAATAAAGGTTAAATAAAAAAATAAAAAATAAATGTCGGATCTGAAGAAATATTCTCATTAGATTAAGATAATTTAAAACAGATTTATCTCTAGATGAAACACCTCTCACTAATCTGACTTCACGTTAACGCCTGTCATTGTTTTTATTACGTTTTCTTTACTGACTGATCAAACACTTTAAGGCCCCGCTCACACGGGACCGTTTGCGTTTATGCACAGTATGCGTATTCAAAAAAGTCTTCCGTTCACATGCATTAGTTTCATTTAACGTGTCTGTTCAAACGAGGCCGCTGGAAACG